TCAGTCTGGTTTTGTTGCCGGATGTCTTCAGAGACCTCTATTACTTCGGGCTTTCCTCCCACATAAAGCTATCACGTCGCGATACTGGAGTATCTGTATTAAACCCATTCACTAACTAACTCGCAGTATGTTTAGCTTTCTTTCACATGAGTTATTGAGTGAATATGGTTTTACGCCGCTTTTAGCAATATTCCAGCAATATTACGGCGGTGTCGACAGAAATGGGTTTCACACATTGTACCCATGTGGGGAATCGAACCCAGGTCTTGTGTGTGACACGCGAACACTTTAACCACTAAGCTACCCGAAAGTAACATCGTTGAATGATGCAATGAAAACATTGCATGTAGGGAATTAACCTTTCGAGGTTAAAACGCCAAAATCAAAAGGGCTAGTCTTTGGTGCCTTAACAGACTACTGACTACCAACCGCACGAGTTGTCTGAAATATACATGGAAGAATATATATTATCGTAGAAATCTTTTAAGGATAAGGAATAATAGATGAATTTATTACCTTTTTCACGCAAATCTCGTCTGAGGTACTTGTGTTATCATCTCGCGCGAATTGTATATCTTACTTACAGGGATTGTTTGCTCACATGAAACGCTCTATACTTACGTGCTGAATGTTCTTCGTGAATACCGTCCTAGAAACAGAAATATCTTTTCACGTCAATCGGGTCTTAGATACTGATCAGATACCTTTTTAATCTAACTTTATAACACATATGTGTTTCAAGAATGTCTCACCTGTTTTTATAAAGACTATAGCCCCCCCAAAATGACGTCATGTGAACCTCCTGGGACCCCTATCGCTGCTGACCATGGTCTGACAAGCACAGCAGTCACGTGGACAATCCCGTCGGCTGTTGACGGAAAGGGCAACTCCATAGCGTAAGTGTCAGTCGTTATATCAATTATATCTATCTAAAGTACTCTCCTGTATATGTTCGAACAAGACTTAACTCACAGCACCAGTGTAAACTGAATCTGCTCATTACAGCTGGGTTTGTTCAGAGCGGAGACCATTGTTTTCATCTTAACCACTCATGTCTGCCGCGAATCACTGATATTCTGCCCGTTCGCCTGCACCTAGACGCTTGCTGTTTGGCATATCTCACTACATACTAAACCCGTGAAGGTGCGGGTACCAATTGGTCTTCAGCAAGGCGACTAAAGGGATCGGGTGGTCAGGTTCGCTGACTTGGTTGATACATGTCATTATATCCCAATTGCTAAATAGATGTTCATGCTGTCTACACTGCATTGTCTGGTCCAGACTCGATTACTTACAGACCGCCGCCATACAGCTGGAATATTGCTGAGTGCGGCGTTAAACAACAAACAAACAAACAAACAGTAAACACTGTATACAAGGACATGGCGACAAACACGGCGACACCTCATCCAGCTTACGCTGATAATTCTAGGTTTGCCCCGAGAATGACTCTGTAAAGGTTACCACGGTAACACCCTCATGGCTCTGTAAAGGTTACCACGGTAACACCCTCTATCACACCGTCATGGCTCTGTATAGATTACCTCTATAACATCCACTGGCTCTGTATAGGTTATACCACTATAACACCCTGATGACCCTGCATAGATTACCATTATAACACCATCATGAATCTGTATAGGTTACCTCTATAACACCCTGATGACCCTGAATAGATTACCATTATCACACCATCATGGCTCTGTATAGATTACCTCTATAACATCCTCATGGCTCTGTATAGGTTATACCACTATAACACCCTGATGACCCTGCATAGATTACCATTATAACACCATCATGACTCTGTATAGGTTACCTCTATAACACCCTGATGACCCTGCATAGATTACCATTATAACACCATCATGAGTCTGTATAGATTACCTCTATAACACCCTGATGACCCTGCATAGATTACCATTATAACACCATCATGACTCTGTATAGGTTACCTCTATAACACCCTGATGACCCTGAATAGATTACCATTATCACACCATCATGGCTCTGTATAGATTACCTCTATAACATCCTCATGGCTCTGTATAGGTTATACCACTATAACACCCTGATGACCCTGCATAGATTACCATTATAACACCATCATGACTCTGTATAGGTTACCTCTATAACACCCTGATGACCCTGCATAGATTACCATTATCACACCATCATGGCTCTGTATAGATTACCTCTATAACATCCTCATGGCTCTGTATAGGTTATACCACTATAACACCCTGATGACCCTGCATAGATTACCATTATAACACCATCATGACTCTGTATAGATTACCTCTATAACACCCTGATGACCCTGCATAGATTACCATTATCACACCATCATGGCTCTGTATAGATTACCTCTATAACACCCTGATGACCCTGCATAGATTACCATTATCACACCATCATGGCTCTGTATAGATTACCTCTATAACATCCTCATGGCTCTGTATAGGTTATACCACTATAACACCCTGATGACCCTGCATAGATTACCATTATAACACCATTATGACTCTGTATAGGTTACCTCTATAACACCCTGATGACCCTGCATAGATTACCATTATCACACCATCATGGCTCTGTATAGATTAACTCTATAACATCCTCATGGCTCTGTATAGGTTATGCCACTATAACACCCTGATGACCCTGCATAGATTACCTCTATAACAACATCATGAGTCTGTATAGATTACCTCTATAATACCCTGATGACCCTGCATAGATTACCTCTATAACACCATCATGACTCTGTATAGATTACCTCTATAACATCCTGATGACCCTGCATAGATTACCATTACAACACCATCATGACTCTGTATCGGTTATACCACTATAACACCCTGATGACCCTGCATAGATTACCATTATAACACGCTGATGACCCTGCATAGCTTACCATTATAACACTATCATGACTCTGTATAGATTACCTCTATAACATCTTTATGGCTCTGTATAGGTTATACTACTATAACACCCTGATGACCCTGCATAGATAACCATTATAACACCATCATGACTCTGTATAGATTACCTTTATAACAACCTGATGACCCTGCATAGATTACCATTATAACACCATCATGACTCTGTATAGGTTATACCACTATAACACCCTGATGACCCTGCATAGATTACCATTATCACACCATCATGACTCTGTATAGATTACCTCTATAACATCCTCATGGCTCTGTATAGGTTATACCACTATAACACCCTGATGACCCTGCATAGATTACCATTATAACACCATCATGACTCTGTATAGGTTACCTCTATAACATCCTCATGGCTCTGTATAGGTTATACCACTATAACACCCTGATGACCCTGCATAGATTACCATTATAACACCATCATGACTCTGTATAGATTACCTCTGTAACACCCTGATGACCCTGCATAGATTACCATTATAACACCATGATGACTCTGTATAGGTTACCTCTATAACACCCTGATGACCCTGAATAGATTACCATTATCACACCATCATGGCTCTGTATAGATTACCTCTATAACATCCTCATGGCTCTGTATAGGTTATACCACTATAACACCCTGATGACTCTGCATAGATTACCATTATAGCACCATCATGACTCTGTATAGATTACCTCTATAACACCCTGATGACACTGCATAGATTACCATTATAACAACATCATGACTCTGTGTAGGTTACCTCTATAACACCCTGATGACCCTGCATAAATAACCATTATAACACCATCATGACTCTGTATAGATTACCTTTATAACACCCTGATGACCCTGCATAGATTACCATTATAACACCATCATGACTCTGTATAGGTTATACCACTATAACACCCTGATGACCCTGCATAGATTACCATTATCACACCGTCATGGCTCTGTATAGATTACCTCTATAACATCTTCATGGCTCTGTATAGGTTATACCACTATAACACCCTGATGACCCTGCATAGATTACCATTATAACACCATCATGACTCTGTATAGGTTACCTCTATAACACCCTGATGACCATGCATAGCTTACCATTATCACACCATCATGGCTCTGTATAGATTAACTCTATAACATCCTCATGGCTCTGTATAGGTTATACCACTATAACACCCTGATGACCTTGCATAGATTACCATTATAACACCATCATGACTCTGTATAGATTACCTCTATAACACCCTGATGACCCTGCATAGATTACCATTATCAAACCATCATGGCTCTGTATAGATTACCTCTATAACATCTTCATGGCTCTGTATAGGTTATACCACTATAACACCCTGATGACCCTGCATAGATTACCATTATAACACCATCATGACTCTGTATAGATTACCTCTATAACACCCTGATGACACTGCATAGATTACCTCTATAACAACATCATGACTCTGTATAGATTACCTCTATAACACGCTGATGACCCTGCATAGATTACCTCTATAACACCATCATGACTCTGTATAGATTACCTCTATAACACCCTGATGACCCTGCATAGATTACCATTACAACACCATCATGACTCTGTATCGGTTATACCACTATAACACCCTGATGACCCTGCATAGATTACCTCTATAACACGCTGATGACCTTGCATAGATTACCATTATAACACTATCATGACTCTGTATAGATTACCTCTATAACACCCTGATGACTCTGCATAGATTACCATTATAACACCATCATGACTCTGTATAGGTTACCACTATAACACCCTGATGACCCTGCATAGATTACCATTATAACACCATCATGGCTCTGTATAGATTACCTTTATAACACCCTGATCATCCTGCATAGATTACCATTATAACACCATCATGGCTCTGTGTAGATTACCACTATAGCCGTGTTACTGTTCATAGCCGTGATCTCACTCTCGAATCCAAACTATTTCATTAGGATAAGGTGTACATAAGGGATAAACGGCAATGGTATAAAGGCAGATGGTTAATGAGTTGTAACCTTGTAGCCCAACACAGACACAGGGGCTTGAACCAGGCAGTGAATTTCAGCGAGGATATCACACAATTTCCTACAAAGCGACAGACAGCAAAGGTTTTTCCGACTACTGCAATTTCGCGTTTGAAGTGAGAGGTAAGATTTACACACTTATCAGCACCCTGCAAGAGCAATCCATACATCGGCGACCGTTCTCGGCCGCTCTTGTAGCAGATACACGAGTTTGGTTTCCATTTCAAACGATTAGTTAGCAATTACGGAGGCGTTCGTTTCGGTTTAAGAGGATATCGTTGCAATTTTGGAAGTTTATTTTCCTATTTTGGTGATATGTGGTCTGTTTTGGCGTATATCAGTTCAGTTTTGATGATTTGTTCGCCGTTTGTATGGTAGGCCTGTACATGTACCTACCAAACACCGATCTGAGAAACAGGCTAGCTATTCTCGAAATGTTCGTAGCCCTAAGAACTTCTTAAGCCCATTCTGAACACATTGGCTACGATCAAAGTTAAGAATTCTGTGAAGGGCTACGAGGGATCGTTTCGTACTGCCTCCCTCTCTCTCTCTACGAACGTTTCGAGAATAAGTGCCCAGATCGTTTAGGGGCCTACGAACACTGAAAAAGGGAAAACGGTAGCCGTGCCAATTTTAACCTAGAATCTGTGCTTTACTGAAACAGTGTAATCCCAGATATAACATAAATTTTATGTTTACAAATTCTATAATTTAGACTTTTTAGGCACATCTGTCACCTAAATCGCTTCACCGTTCCTTTTGCCTTTTTGGATGTATTCGGTATTGGTATCAAAACTTCGGTCATCGTCTAACAATATTCCCGAGCTAATCTGTACACAACATATAATCAAGACTAATAAGCGGTTTAAAAATATGAAGTCTTCTTGCTGTGAACTCACACGGAGTATAGTCGTTAAAAAGAAAACAATCAAACTTCGGGGGACATCATTTCATTGTAGTGTACATTTTCTGTTGAGCATATATACTTACAAGGCTAGATTTGATTATACAATCACTGAACCTCACAAGTATATGCATGTGGTGTAGCCTGAAAGGGTCTTTGCACGCAAACTGTCTTGATGACTCACATACATAAGGCAAACAATATCAATACTTACGTGACTAAAACTTCCTTGTTAATGAATACCAAAGAACGAACTTCATTGTATTTCTTGATGAATTCATATATTGTTATGAAAGACATTGCTATTGGATGTAATTATGATTATTTCATATCTTTAAATATCAGTTCCCACGTGTTTCATGCACTGGGTTCGTCACGCGTCACGCGTGTGTGATAGCGGAGAGCTCATCCACGGGAAGAAGTGCCAGCTGATCTGTGACGACGGGTATGACCTTGTGGGCGCTGCAGAGGTCACATGTCAGCAAGACGGTTCCTGGAGCAGTGACCTGCCCACGTGTAAACGTAAGTGCCATTCTCAGCAGTCGTTTGTTCCAAGTAATGATAGTCAGCGAATGATTATTGATTGCGTCATATTTTGTATGCCTTCAGTAACGGTTATCTCAAACAGAATTATATCGCATTGACACGACCGGATCTGATAGTGTACGAAACTAAACCTGTAAAATTAGAACTCACAATTAAAAGTATAAATACCCACTCTCTCAAAAAAGAAACGCAACCCTTGTTTTTTTTGGTAATGTTTATATCAATTTTAACTGGTTATTACATTTGTATTTTTAAAGATAATGCCATGAAATTTGACATGGTGAACCTTAGGTCAGCACGGTATAAGGTAACAGTTAATGCAGGTCAGTATCGAACTCTCAATTTACGCTAGGGGGCGTTGTCTTCAGTATCTCGTTGTAGAGCCACGAGCTCTAATCACAGCAGTGCACCTCCTCGGAACAGAACGAATCAGACGGCGGATGTTTTCCTGGGGATTGCTCTCCACTCTTCCTGGAGTGCTTCGGCCAGTTCAACCAACGTGCGGTTGTGGTGTACGTGCACGAACACGACGATACAGCTGGTCCCACAGATGTTCGATAGGATTGATGTCTGGCGATCTGGAGGGCCACGGCATCACGTTGACGTTTGAATTCTGTAGGAATGCCACTGTTGCACGAGCTGTATGAGGGCGGGCATTGTCATGTTGAAACAACTCCCTCTGTTGGTCGATTATCGGCAGAAGATGTGGCTGTAAAGACGTCATCAATGTACCGTTGTGCCGTCAAATTGCCACGAATGATGACCAAGTCTGACCGTTGGTTGTAAGACATGGCTCCCCATACCATGATGCTTCCTCCTCCAAATCTGTCGACCTGTCGATCGCAGTTCGGTGCAAAACGTTCATTTGCTCGTCTATAGACACGTTGTCTACCGTCACGTCGTTGAAGAAGAAAACGAGACTCGTCACTAAACCAGACTCTTCTCCAGTTTCTTAGGGTCCATCTCCTTACGTTAGTACACCACCTGAGACGTTGGCGTCGATGTTGGCGTTTCAAGACGGGCCCAACAACTGGTCTTCTTGCACGTAAATTTGCCTCATGTAAACGGTTCCTGATGGTTTGGGCCGATACTCTCCTCAAACCTGGCACCTGTGTTGCAGTGATGGTGGGTGTGGCATGTCGATTACGTAGGTGGCTGAGTCGAATAAAGCGATCCTGAGCCGGTGTGGTGATCCTAGGTCTACCGCTCCTGGGACGATCTTCAATTGCATGGAACTGTATTGTAACGATTCCAAAGTCGTGAGATTGTTGTTTTGTGTACGTTTAGATGACGGGCAACTGTTCCAAAGCTTCCCCGGCCTCAATGCGACCAATGGCAATATTTCGATTTGCTGTACTCAAACGGGGCATTTTCGAACTTGTTTTGCAGAGCAAATTATGAGAGAAAAATTACAAACTACGCGTGCTTTTAAAACCCTCTACATGAACTGTGTTTTCAACGATTTGCACGTGCAACAGGCTTTTAGCATTTTGTACATGACAATTTCGCACTTTCTCAAATAACACGGATACAAAGGTCATCATGTGTGAAAATGGTTCCGTTTGGGAGCTTATACTGATCAGATGGGAACGTATTAACAGTATTTTGAAGAAAATTCTAATTTACATTCACCATCTTTATTCTAGAAATGATGTCAGATATTTAGATAGGGGTTGCGTTTCTTTTTTGAGAGAGTGTAGAAGTGCAACTAAAAACTAAAACTAGAACGAAGTTTGATTTAACGCCGATTTGAAGAATATTTCACTTATCACAAGGGTGTCGGGGAGGCAGTCCCGAAGTGATGCAGATCTTAAATACTTTACAAAACAATAAACAAGATTCTTACCAGAATAAAGCATGGTCATTGTTGTTACCTGTCTGACATTCAGCTGTGGTGGATACGACGAGGACTGGTAGACTCGGAGCTCGTATACGCTGTTGATGAGAGATAAATAGTTTATTAATGTGTCACGCATACAACTCAGCATTTTGTTACACTATAAGAGCGCAATATAAGTTTAAATGTCCAGCCAAATTGGCTTATGAGACATAGAACTGTTTTAAAACATAGTAGTACCATAAAAAATATATATATATGGTATAGAGCATAAAATGCATGTTATAAAACGAAAGAAAGGATTAAATCACATGTTCCTTCTTTAAACATTAGAAGGGTAACGTAAATGGTTATGGTTAAGAATGTAACTAAGTATAGAAGCACTATCCATATAGATAAAACCTGGAATGTTTTGTTCAGCTGCTAAAACTAACTTATATTTCAAATCCGAGTAAACGTAACAATCAATAAGAAAGTGTGTTTCATCTTCTACAGCAGCTTGTCCTATTCCTGTACAGAACTGGCATATTCTGTCGTTCAGTGCGGTAGGAGACTTAGGGTATCTTCCTGTCTCAATTGCTAAGTGGAGGTTACCACATCTGAACTTAGATAGGATACGTTGTTGATCCCGACATTTGACTGTCCGAACGTAACAACTTGTTTTAGGTTCAGTCTTGAATGTTCTATAGGTTCGGACCTTGTTCCCGTTAGGTTTGTTGTGGTCGTTTCATAATTCACGTGTCCAGTCGTTGATATCGCATTGAGTAAAAGAGTCTTTAAATGCATCCATTTTTGTCTTACTTGGCATATCTGTGTCGATTATATCTGTAGCACCATGGTTTTCCAACAACAATCTTTTTTTCCAAGATGTTGGCTTTGTTTTTCCCCACTCATGTATTATACGGACGATTCTATCGCTTTTCATCTTGTTCAGTCTTGTTAGGAGTCTGCAAACCTCCATGCGCTGTGTCACTGTCACTATGTTGGAGCTAGGTTGGAGTTTTGTCCAGTTCTCAGGAAGTATTTGCAGGCTCTGTTCTGTACTGTCTTCACCTCTCTGTACGTGTTGATTCCCCAGATTCCGGCTCCATAAAATAGCACTGGCTCTACAAAGCATGTATAACTTTGTATATACATCAAAGGACATACCTCCAGCTCTGTTAAACTTGGTATACAGGGAAGAAAGTGCTATCAGTCATATCCAAGTGTTCATTTAACCATATACCAAGATATCGATAGCAGTTGGTATACTTAACAGACCTATCTCCGCAAGTAAACTTGAATTCTCTCCTCTCCCTTGATGGCATACGAAAGTGAATCACTTTAGTCTTTCCAATATTTATGTCAAGTTTCCAACTGCTACACCATTCCTGCAGAACATTTAACATTTTCTGGAGAGATTCTTCGTCCGGGGCGATGAGGGCGATGTCACATCAGTGACATCGACTCCGCAATCTAGCTTTTTTATCTCTTCCGCTATGTCGTTGGCGGAAATGGAAAAAAGAGAGGGGAGAGTTTACAACCTTGTTTTACGCCAATGTCAACTTTAAAACTGCCAGTGATATAGTCATTGATACGTAATGAGCAACTGACGTCGTCATACAAAGATTGCACTGCGTCGATAATTCTCCCTGACATCCCCGTCCGCATCAGTTTCTACCAAAGATATTTCCTATCTACCGTGTCAAACGCCTTACGGATATCCACAAAGCATAAAGTTGATTTTTTCTTCGTTTTGCTGTTGTTGATTAGACTATACAGAGAGTATGTGTGATCTTCACAGTTCCGGTCGGAGGGAAAGCCGTTCTGTTCCTCTGCTAGCAGCCTATTCCTTTCTAACCATGCTTGAATTCGGACATTCAGGATATCGGCGTACACCTTGCAGGGTACAGATATGAGCGTAATACCTCTGTAACCAAGCGGCTCCAGAGGGTCACTTCCGTCCTTTGGTATAGGTGTAATGATGCCCGCGCACCATGCGGTCGGGCTTACACTGTTTTCAAAACAAAAGCTTATTATGCGGTGAAATAACTGGATGCACGTTGTATTGCTTGATGTCTGCTTGTCCAATCAAACCGTCATTAGACAAGTTCAAACAGCACGAAAGGTCACGAGACAAGCGATGTAATCTTCAACCCCATTTCACTTTCCCTCACCATCATAGTTTTCCTTTCAAAGCCAAAACGTGCCCCGACCTTAGCAACTTCACCTGCACTGACAACTACAACTACGGCAGTATCTGCTCCCTGTCCTGCGACACCAGTGTCGGCTTCAGCGTCACCAACCCCAGCATCACTATATGCTTGAAGACCGGGCAGTGGTTCCATCCCGTGCCACAGTGTATAGGTGAGGGGTCAGAATTACATGCACATTGTTGGTTTAATTACCTATAAGTAGAATTTATTATTGCCAGTAGAATTTATTATTGCCCATCTGCAGTAACACGACAGAGTTCACAGTGTTGCAAAGTCCGAGACGAACTTACGAGAGTGCTCGCTTAAACCACAAAGTTATTGTCCATAAGGAAGGAAGACTATTACATTAAGATCTAGTCCACGAAATGAACATATTTTACCGATAAAAGGGATTTTCAGGCTTGACACCCATTCTAGACTTGCATAGGCTGTTCTGGGTATATATGTTTCTGGGTTTGTAAAACAGACAAGAAGATATTAGTGTACCTTCCTAGTTTCTTGCCCTGCCCTGCCCTGCCCTGCCCTGCCCCTGCCCTGCCCTGCCCTGCCCTGCCCTGCCCTGCCCTGCCCTGCCCTGCCCTGCCCTGCCCTGCCCTGCCCTGCCCTGCCCTGCCCTGCCCTGCCAGATGGTAAAAACATCCATGTCAGATGACACAAAGTTTCTGTCCATCAGATACTGCAGCGCCAGTCTTCGACAACTGTCCCACCGAGAGTCTCATGTTGTTTGCGGACCAGGGCTCAACTCTGACAGCAGGAGTGTGGGGCGACATCACAGCGACGGACAACTCCGGGAACGCTTCCGTAACACAAGTCGAGGGGTTGCCGCAAAGGTCGATGTTTCCGTCAGGGTCGTCAGTCGTCAAGTACAAGGCTACTGATCCGTTTGGCAACGAGGCTATGTGTACATTTAACATTGTGGTCCAAAGTGAGTGAGATGTTCTCGTTGCCCGTTTTCACAGAGTTAAGTTCACTCCACTAATTCTGATAATGCATGTGCTCCACGAACAGAAGATTCAATGCTTCTGTCTCATAAGTGAGTCTTCAAACCGAGGCTGGTCGACCTGGAAAGGCGCCATATGGACAATAAACCTAATATAACATAATATGACCTGGGGGGGGGCTCAGATACAGTGTTCAAAGTGTATAGAATTAGGGTAAAGCGAGCAAACCGATCTCAGTCTCACTCAACGTCAGTTGGTCACGTCTTCTGTAGAACTGAATCCAGAGATTTCATCGTTCATCACACTCGTCTTCAAGACAAGTGCATTAAAGGCAATGGTTTTACCTTCATAGAGCCTCAATAAACTTCTAGATTTGTGAGTTCGACGTCTTCAACGCTATGATGTTTGGTTTGTCAGTACCATACCTCTGATTCTGACATACGTGAACAACGTGCATCGGTTTCTGCACCTAGTTAACACATCGTCTAATACCTCCGACTATTGTATTGCAATATAGTTCGAACTATATATATTAAGGATTTGAGCAATTAACACATTTTTCAAGGATTAATCCTCCATCCTAAATGAGGTTTTAAGGTTCGTTATATTTCAGCCCTGACCTGCAGTCCTCCATCCGTCACAGCCAAGATGTGGTTTCAGTGTACCAATGACTACATGTATGGATCCGAGTGTGCTCTTGGGTGTACGGGAGCCTTACTGAATGGATCCAACTTGATGGCATGCGCGAAGAAGAGCACATCACCACCTGGCACCTACTGGGAATACAATGGCACCCCAGCCCTTCTGCGAAGGTAAGCCTTTAACTACCTTGTGACTTTCTCGCCATGGCCTGTATCTGTGTATGAAGTCTGTCGCCATTTTCAACAATGTTTGCCTAACTGAAGCGACAGAAAAACTGTTGAGTAAATCATTGTCAGTGTGCTGAATGGTGATGGAACATAATATCATTCGAATGTACAGAGTCGGACCCGTCCTCACAATTGTTCAAAAGAAGAGGACCAGATATCTGGTGATATTGTACATGACTCATCAAATATCGTGCAGTAGGTTTGCGCCACGTGTCAAATACATCTGGTATCACCGTTCGGGCCACGATCATAGTCGTTCAGACAGGTGTCATCACTCTACTGATCACTGTGCTGTTTGTATTTTCAGATGTTCAGGACACCTACGACATGATCATTTGAACGCTAACGTGTTTTATCACCTTTAGCGTGCACACTTACTTCGGCATGATCAACAAACTAATACCGCTGGAATCAATATTTTTATCATTTTATGTTTTCGTTTTAGCTGCATTAGAATGGCAGCTTATAATTAATTCGGTCAAACATATTTGGCTTCTGGAAAAAGGGGAAACAAGTTTGAAAAAAACACTGCTTTTGGAGCATGGGAAAAGATGAAAATATTCTCATAATTAGTAATGCTATTTCAGAAAGGCCCTGCCCCGACCTCGAACCGCCACAGAACGGTGCTCTTGCTTGCGACGCTAACTTGGCCAGTTCCTTCTGCAGTATGCAGTGTAACGACAAATATGACGTACCATACAATGTGGAGCCTTTGTACGCTTGTGCCTACACAACAGGGCTGTGGAAGCCATCTGAAGACTTCCCCGACTGTACCGGTGAGTTTGTTTGTTTGTTTGTTTGTTTGTTTGTAAGCAATATTCCAGAGTTATATATCGGCGGTCTGTAAATAATTGAGCCTGGACCAGACAGTCCAGTGATCAACACATTTGGGATACGATGACATAAGTCAACCAAGTCAGCTAGCCTGAGCACCCGATCCCGTTAGTCGCCTCTAAGCATGATTTACTGAAGACCAATTCAAACCTGGATTTTCATAGGTTGAACCAATCTCACTCTCTATATTTATTTGCTCTCTTTGCCAGTCAAAGCCAGGAATCAGTTTACTTTATCGAGTTGCAGTATTAATAGTGGTATAATCATGGATGACTTTCTACACCACCTCGGGTGTTACAGAATGTATACGATTCTGTTTATCGGTATACGATAGATTGTGTATTTCGTCCCACCACAGTACTATTTGATGGAACTGTATGTCTGTCAACATTTGGACTCAATATGGTTTTACAGTCCGTCATCGTCCTGGTTCGGCAAAACAGCTGTCGGAGATGTTGTACTACACGGGGGAGTGCGAGGATGAGGAGACGCTGCTACAGATCAAGGAAAACCATCTCAACACCATGCAGAATTCAACCTTTAGCGATGTGTGTTTAAAGGCACAGTGTTCGGTGGATAACGTTGAAGTCACTTGCGGGGAGCTTGGAAGGAAGAAACGCGACACAGACAACAAGTATGGAGTAAGTTATGGAGCTGGGTTTAACGTCCCTTTCAACGGTATTCCAGCTGTAGCTCGGTGTGTCAGCTTGTTGTGAGAGTATGTGAGTGAGTGAGTCGCATAAGCAATATTCCAGCAATAGCAGGGCTTGGAACACCAGAAATGGGCTTTCACACATTGTACCCATGTGGGAAATCGAACCCGGGTCTTCGGCGTGACGGGCAAACACTTTAACCACAAGGCTACTCCACCGCTGTTACTTCGAAGGGTCAAGCTATATTCTATTTATAATATCATGTTGCTGTGTGGTAGCCTAGCATATAAAGCGTTCTCTCGTCACGCCGAACATCAGCATTCGATTCCCCACATAGGAACAATTTGTGAAGTCATTTTCTGGTGTCCCCTGCCGTGATATTGCTGGAACATTCCTAAAAGCGGCATAAAACTAAACGCATTCATAATATCGCGTCAGTGGAAACCATAATGAACGACCTTTGCACGAGCTATCATTTCTATTTAGACAGACCCAGAAACGTACAACCTGACCACGCAGAGCAGGAAGCGCCGATCAACAGTAACCGCCGTTATTGTCAAATGGGACATCATCATACCATTCGACTGTGAAGAAATGTCGAACAATGATTGCATAGATCATCACCTGGCTATTCTAAACTCGTTATCTGCCTCTATTACCGAGATGGCAAACAACGGTGACTTCCAACACCCAGTGCCCGGATATGAGACCCGCGTCGACGAATCGTACTATCCGGGTGGAATAGACCTGGTGTGTGGGGAGGGGATGTGGGGCAATGCACAGACTGCCTCTTGTGGTGAGAGAAATAAAATATACTTAAAAAAACTTTCTATACGAGCGTAATCATAAGACGTTTTCCTTGTTTGTTTGTTGTTTAACGCCACACTCAGCAAATATCAGCGCAATATGTCGGCGGTCTGTAAATAGTCGAGCCTGGACCAGACAATCCAATGATCAACAGCATAAATGTCCATCTGCGCAATTGGGATACGATGACAAGCGTCAACTAAATCAGTGAGCCTGTCCTCCCGATCCCGTTAGTCGCATCTTACGACAAGCATCCTCTGCTCAAAGCGTTACGCGTTCATCCAACGTTAAGTGTCACACGTTAGTGTTATTCGGTCTTTTCAGCCGTGTGTCCAACCGGAACGATGTACAATGCTACGTTAGATGACTGCAGCACGTGCCCAGTGGGATTCTATCAGGATGAAGACCACAGCTTCTCATGCAAGTCTTGTCCTCAAGGTTCAACGACTCTCAAGGAAGGGTCACGGTCACGGAATGACTGTCTCGGTAAGTACTTGTCATTTTTGTATTTTCTGATCGAGAACCACTCAGTAAAGCTCCATCTTTAATGTGATGACCTGTAAATTATGTGAGGACCCCGAACTGATATTATCAACAACAACCGAACCTGACAATACGTTCTAGCCTTACACGAAAGGTCAGTCTTATTATTAGGTGACACAGACTCCGTTGGGTGAAATATATAAATGAGTGGTAAACTGATAACCACAGGTGACACCAGGTTTTCGCAAAAAGAGTTGGGATATCCTGCTCAAAGTAAGTGACAAAACCCTTTCCGTCATCACAGAAATGTACTACATGAAAAGTAAGGGATATTCCATTTTGGAGCGATATTATTAGCGAATCAAGTTGCATTATTGCATAGGGAATTAGAAAACACGCCAATTCCGTGCAAGCATTTATAGAACGTCCAGAACGTATTGGGACGGCCCAGTCATGGTGCAGGGTGGGATCACTGGGACTGGCGGAACATATTTACAGGTTATTCTCGGACGTGACCCTGGGTAGTACTACCGTGACAACGTCCTGCAGGCAGACGTGGAGCAATTTACGCGGCGACATGGACGTCGTTACGTGTTTGGGCATAACAACGCAAGAGCTCACAGAGCATTACCCCCCTACAATGACTAGCGCTTAATCCACACTTGTCACCCGTCGTCAGGGATATTCGTATACGGCGGTCACATCTTACGGACACGCACGCAGTTGACCGTGGATGAACGTAGTAGACCGTATTTGACCTTAGTTAAAAGCAGTTAGACGTATTCAAGTGTAGTCCAACGTAGATCACCGTAGTTATGGCCGTACTTTGAACTTCAGCAAATCCATGATTTTGCCGTGGTTAGACGAAACAATTTTCAACATGTTCAAAATAGCTCTACGGTTAGCTTGAATGCCAACACCCTATTGTTACCGTAGTGTGAACGTAGTTGACCATAGTTCTCCCTAGTAGACGTAACTGACACTACTGCACCGAGATGTTGACCGTAGTACACCGTGGTAACATGGCACTACGATCGTGTTGACCGTAGTACACCGTGGTAACATGGCACTACGATCGTTTTGACCGTAGTACACCGTGGTAACATGGCACTACGATCAAACTACGGTTTACACCGTTAATCACTACAGTCCAGTAGAACAACGTTCGTGACCGTAAGATGTGACCGCGGTTTTAGACAGTGCGTTTGAATTTTCATGGTGAATGTTGTGATGGGCAGTAGTCGGCTTTGGCCAACCAAAATCTATGGCCCCCTGACGTTCAAATCTCAATCAGATGTTTCCGTTGCACTATTTATCTCATTAAAGATATGAAATAGCAATAGTTGTGAGGCTGTTGTATTGAATATCCCCGTCTTTTCAATGATAAATCATCGACTATATTCAGCCTTTGTGATAAGCGTGTTAATGCATCACTACCAAAACTTGAATAACTACCATATCAGGTGTTAGAGATGTCACATGGCGCTTATCGGTTACTTCCAGCCTACTGCACACCTGGACATGTTTCGCTTTACGGCGTGGAGCCCTGCGCCCCCTGTCGGATAGGGGAGTATCATCCTGCAGGGGACGGAACTGAGTGCTTCACGTGCCCACCGGGAACGACGACCCAGACGACTGGGGCTACCGACTCACAACAGTGTCTGTGTAGGTAGTCGCTTGGTCACATGGTTATCCTGTCATAATGTATTGGTTACTACTCAAACACTACTCACAACAGTGTCTGTGTAGGTAGTCGCTTGGTCACATGGATATCCTGTCATAATGTATTGGTTACTACTCAAACACTACTCACAACAGTGTCTGTGTAGGTAGTCGCTTGGTCACATGGATATCCTGTCATAATGTATTGGTTACTACTCAAACACTACTCACAACAGTGTCTGTGTAGGTAGTCGCTTGGTCACATGGATATCCTGTCATATTGTATTGGTTACAACTCAAACACTACTCACAACAGTGTCTGTGTAGGTAGTCGCTTGGTCACATGGATATCATGTCATATTGTATTGGTTACATCTCAAACACTACTCACAACAGTGTCTGTGTAGGTAGTCGCTTGGTCACATGGATATCCTGTCATATTGTATTGGTTACAACTCAAACACTAATTTTATGACAGAATGAGAACAAAATTAACACTAGGGCCTCGTTTTACAAAGTTATCACAGCGCTACGACTGTCGTAATTCTACGTTACAGTATAGGAGGTACGACAGTCGTAGTGCTACGATAGCTTTGTGAAACGGGGCCCTTACGTTTAAAAACAAACAGACATATTTGATGGTTCACCAATCATATCCAACCATATGCAATACATAAAACGTATTGTTCATATCTTATAATTATACTTTGACTATTTTAAGACGGGTGTTAATATATGTTAGCTAGTCGAGCCTGGACCAGACAATCAAGTGATGAACCATTAGCAGTGATCTACGCAATTGGGATACGATGACATGTGTCAACCAGGTCAGACAGCCTGACCACCCGATCCCGTTAGTCATCTCTTACGACAAACATGGGTTACTGAAGATCAATTCTAACCCGGACTATCCGGAATAGGTTTTGCTCTATCATCATAATACGAAAACACAGTTTTCACGTAGGTGAACTCAATAACAGTTTGAATGTGTTGTTTATCTGGTAGAGTTATATGAATCGACCTTTACTTTGCGTACCTTTCCCCCATCTTTGCAGCTTATGAGATGGCTCTTGAAGGGCCTTGCAGTTTGACCACAGATAATCAACTTACCGACTCTACGAATGACTTCACTTTGACCATGTGGATGAAGATGAAATCAGAGGTCCAGATGTCCATCAAGGTTACAGAGGCTTCGGCTGGAGATCAGCTGGACATGAACATCGGAAACGTGATTTCTGTATCTCTTCACGGGTGAGTGTTCAAAGTTATGCTTGCAATGTTTAACGATAAGGAAACTTATAATTTAAAACTTATAGAAATTATCAATTATTTCTTGGCCGACATCCTTTATTGGTTAAATCTGGTAATTTTTTAGCATTTCTTTGAGTGGCATTTTCGAAGTTGGTGTCACTAGAAACTTTAATGATGACAACTTCTTTTATTCCGTGAAAGTGACGTTTTGATACAGACATTTGTACAATAAAATGAAGTCCACAAAGTTTGTCAACAATTTTAGCATGTGTTTATTGTCAATTATGCATACATGCTGATCGAGCCGAACAAATTGAGTGTTACGCAATTGTTATTTCCAATTAGGGGAAAAGATGAGCAAATGGTCCAACGTGTTGCAATATAAACTTTACAGATTCTGTGCTATGATTACGTTCTGGTGTCAAGGCACATGTCTCCACATTAAGACGTCTTGGGATGGCAATATGTCGTTTGTTATTTCCAATTAGGGGAAAAGATGAGCAAATGGGCCAACGTGTTGCAATATAAACTTTACAGATTCTGTGCTATGATTATGTTCTGGTGTCAAGGCACATGTCTCCACATTAAGACGTCTTGGGATGGCAATATGTCATTTGTTTATCATTCTAAATACCATGCATGTTGCTCCTATTTGTCAATTTATAGTACAGAGGTCATGTCTGGCATCACCATGGAAACAGGGGTATGGGCATTCTTAGCCTTGACCTTCACTGGTACCGACAGTACGTTGAGGCTCTCATAAGGGAGACAAAGAAGCGTCAGTGATGGCGATGGGATCCGTCACTTCCCCAGTTGTAGCGGCGGCGTCATCGATGGAAGTGAGCCTCGGCGATGCAGAAGGTAATCACTCTCCGTGTACCAGATTCGAAACGGTCGCAGGATCAATCTTACTTGACATGCGCGCTACCATACCAGCTAACGATATGTGATAAGCCTCATAGATTAGATTCAGTGGTGTAGCTGTGTCAGAGCTCTCAATCCCCTTTATTTGTACATGCCAATATACCCTTATGGTTTAAAAGTTGGGTCATCGCAAGGAGACCCCTGGGTTCGATTCCGTTCTTGTGTCCCACGCCACCATTGCTGAATTTGAGGCGTAAAACAAACTTCACTCACCATACAGTTTGTGTTTCAGGGGCAACAATCCGAAGCATGTACCTGTTAAAAGGACACTTCTACCAGATGAAATATCAACAACGGCGGCCACGTGTGACGAGACTTATGACGCCGATGTCGTCTTTTCCTTAGGAAGTATGAGTTCCACAACACCAGACAGGGTCGAGGTCCTAGCGCCAAGTTCATGCACAAGTGGGTTGTACATACGATAAGACCATCTGATAATTATCGTGTCCTTCATTCAGTCACTACATATAATACATGTATAACATGTATCGTAGGTTGGCCATGGGGAATACAAATCTATATCAACACATACAAGATTGTATTAATGCAAAGAGGGTTAGAACCGGTCCCACAGAAGCCGGGCTTATAAGAGGCGCCTCACCAGAATGGGTGGACAGTTTCACAGACTCGACTGAGGCATGACCTCGAAGTCCAACTGTGTGTGTTGATGCTCATGATCTCAATCACTGGATTGTCTGATTATTTACAAAACATTAAAAGCTGGTCAATTGACACAAATAAATGTAAATACCAGATGAAATAACATCGGAATATTGTAAATACACTTAATTAGGAGTAGACTCATATTTTGTTGAGGATTTTCAAAGTGCCTCCAGAAACAATCATGAGATAGATACCGTTTCATTAATATTATACTGAAACTGATATGTTAACATAGCAAAAGTAACGTGGTTTCCGCAATGCGGAAACCTGATAGAAAGTGGACTGAAACTTTACTTTCAACCTAGAATCCACTGAGTTACCATTCTATAAATTGAGTTTCCGCAGAAACGGAAACTTGCAATTAACCACTTTCTAAGGGTTTTCGCAAGGTATCCGTTACCCAGACTCCAACAGGTTTTAATTTTAAAGTAATACCAACATTTCATAGTTTATGTCATGTCAGAGACGGCAACTCCGTCCCAAACTCACTTATTCAGTCACACTTCATTCAAGGAAACCGTGTCTTGAATTTAATCAAAAAATGAACCCTAGAATGTGTATTAGATGACTCGTTTTGCTGACCCGGGTGTTTTCGTATTTCACTGATTGCAGCCATTAACCCATGTGACCCGACTCCGTGCAACAACCACTTGTGTGTCACAAACGGCTCCACCTACACCTGTGTATGTCAGAACGGCTTCACCGGTGAAGACTGTTCCGTGCCCCCAGACTTCTGTACTGACAACCTGTGTGAGAACGAGGCGACGTGTGTAACGGGGACCAGCAACTACTCCTGCATCTGTGCCCACGGGTATCAAGGAATGTTGTGTGGGTCACACATTGGTAGGTGACAGTGTTGGGCGTGGGTGTAAAGGGTATCAAGGAATGTTGTGTGGGTCACACATTGGTAGGTGACAGTGTGGGGACAGTGGGGTGTAAAGGGTATCAAGGAATGTTGTGTGGGTCACACATTGGTAGGTGACAGTGTGGGGCGTGGGTGTAAAGGGTATCAAGGAATGTTGTGTGGGTCACACATTGGTAGGTGACAGTGTGGGGCGTGGATGTAAAGTGTATCAAGGGATGTTGTGTGGGTCACATATTGGTAGGTGACAGTGTGGGGGTAAAGGGTATCAAGGGATGTTGTGTGGGTCACACATTGGTAGGTGACAGTGTGGGTGTAAAGGGTATCAAGGATGTTGTGTGGGTCACATTGGTAGGTGACAGTGTGGGGTAAAAAATGGGTAAAGGTATCAATGAATGTGTGTCTCACACATTGGTAGGTGACAGTGTGGGGCGTGGGTGTAAAGGGTATCAAGGAATGTTGTGTGGGTCACACATTGGTAGGTGACAGTGTGGGGCGTGGGTGTAAAAGGTATCAAGACATGTTGAGAGGGTCACCCACTGGTAGGTGACAGTCAATGAACTGCTGGAGGGATGTTCGGGTCATGAATTGTTGACAACTGACCAATGCCTGTTGATTAAGAAGGGTCGATGACCAGGCCGGTCGTGGGTCCCTGCTACAATTGTAGAATACTCACTGGTTGCTGTGATTATAAATATAATATTGCTGATCTCCCTGTTATAGCGACACTGTAGTTGGTGTAGGCCACACATGGGTCAGCTTAGGCGCAGCGCACCTTTATTTCTGGCGTCAGGACAAAATGTCCACTTTTCTGTACGTGTGACAATTTTACTGGCGTGACATTTTCATAACGTGTGACATCGCTTTATCTCCTCAGTGAACGGAGGATATTCAGAGTGGTCCGAGTGGAGCACGTGCTCAAAGACATGTGGAGGAGGGGAGACAACTCGGTCCAGGGCTTGTGACAGCCCGCCACCGGGTGTTGATGGAGACAGCTGTGTGGGGGCAGACATGGAATCAGCCACATGTAACACAGAAGATTGTCAAGGTAACCGCACCTGTATTAGGGTTTAAAATCAAAGCTCTGACCATTAACAACAAAAATATTATGCTCTTGCAAAGTCAACTTGGAATGACAAAACCATTCAATTCCTATGTACCGATTGCAACTTTAAAATAAATCCGTGTTAGCGTTTTATTGAGGTTGTTTTGAGTTGACCTCATTTCATTGTTTCGCTTCACTGGAAGTGATATGATGGTTTTAATGTCTCTGAACAATAACATATATATAACTCTGAGAAGACTTTGCACGCACTTCCGTCCTGAACAAGATCCTAGGCCACCAGTTGCCCCTCAACCTGGGCCGTCCTGGTTCTACTCTATTGTAATAGGCGGCCTTAAAATCATGTCACTAATTCACTCACGAACGAACGATATCAGAATGACACACCCACTGTCATAAATACATATGACTATTGTAAGTTTAATTTCAATATTTGTCTAACAGGTGTGACACCAGACGTTATGAAAACTCAAACTTCTTTTTCAGAAAACCATTCAGATTCATTTATAGGGTGATTCTAAATATATCTAGTCTCAAAGAAAATCATATGGGCACGGTGAAAATGTCAAGCATTTGGTTGAAATTAAAACCAGATGATGACAAATAGTGACTTAAATACGTAAATGCAACTCATTTTGACACGTAACTGAATGACTGGTGTGACATATTGTGAAGCAGCTTCTCTTGTTTTCATGATCCTCTGAACCCGTGAAGATCAGGGTTAGAATTGATCTTCAGCAACCCATGCTTGTCGTGAGAGGCGACTAACGGGATGGGATGGTCAGGCTCGCTGACTTGGTTGACACATGTCATCGTATCCCAATTGCGCAGATCGATGCCCATGCTGTTGATCACAGGATTGTCTGGTCCAGACTCGATTATTTACAGACCGCCGCCATAAAGCTGGAATATTGCTGAGTGCGGCGTAAAACTAAACTCACTCACTCTAATCACATACAAACGGACACTGAAAGAGTGCAATATTTGGATGAGATAAAAACAAAACCGATGATTCCGAAATGGTGACTTAAATCCTTAAATCCGAAATGATGTAAAGCTCCTTCTCGTGTTTTTATGGTCCTCTGGGTTTCTTTATAATTAACCTGTAGGTTGTGTGTTTAGTCTGCAGTGTAAGTCAGCTCCGTCTCGGCAAATACAACGATCCGTCCGGTCCAGATTGTAACAGTACTGATACAGAGATGAACTGTAGCGTCGCCTGCCTCCCTGGCTACTTTACATCCACCGTGCAGGTTACTCGCTTTACCTGCAAGGAGGGGGTCTGGACGCCGAGTCTCACCCTCACGTCGTGTACAGGTGAGTGAGTGAGTGTGTATGGTTTTACCCGCTTTTAGCAATATTTCAGCAATATCACCCATGTGGGGAATCGAACCCGGGTCTGCAGCGTGTCGAGCGAATGCTTTAACCACAAGGCTACCCCACCGCCCCAGTGTACAGCTGAGGGGATGCAGTTGGAAAAATCACAATGAGGAAACTCGACGAATATATATTTCCATGTTTTTGTTTATTGGTTCGGGGTCTTTTAAAGCAATACACCCAACAATATTACATCTCTCAGACAGTAGGCTGTAGATATTCGGGTCGGGACCAGAACATCTAGTGATTGACATCATGAGCATCGATTGTTTGTTTGTGTAATGTGGCACTCAGCAAGATCCCAGCTGTATGTAAACAAACGACTTTGGACCAGATAATCCAATGACTGACATCATGACTCGTGACAGGGATCTTCAGTGGATTCATGTCTAAAGCATCAACAATGAGTTTAGGGTGGTTATAATGTGTACAAGTATGTTCAGGTGACAGGGCTGTTTTTGTCTACTTTTGTGCATGTTCGCACTCAAACTGGAATACATGTTAACATGTATTTAAATATTTAGGTTTAATTTTACTGCAGGGTAAATCAACATACACACGTTTTACAGCCAACCACAAACCTAGTGGCGACGTCGTGCCCATTTCACTTCTTGCCGCCTTTCTCTTGATTTAGCGACCTCAAGGAGGTCAAACCTTGGACATAACATATCTTATATGGTATGGTCTGGCAATAAACTAGAATATGCTCACCCCAGTCAGAGGAACAATTGTGCCTAAAATTGATGCATTTGAAATCTCTCCAGACGTAACGTCTCCTTCGGCCTTGACCTTGGTTGCTGACGTCAACTATACCAGGGAGGGATGCCTTTCCGCATCAGAAGCCAATGGCCTGAAACAGCAACTTGAACAGAACATCAATTCGCTGCCTTGTGGTTCCGACCCTGATTGCAAATCCACGGTAAATGTCCCAGATTGCACTTCTGTAAATCCGGAGCCTTCTGCCAGAGTGGATTTAACCTTTGACCTACCGGAAGGTGATCTTGACCTTGCTGGCTACATAAGGACTAATACGGGTAAGCTGTCTCTGCGTGAAAACAACTGTTTTAACAACGATGTTTTTGTGTATCATGATAAAATCAATAATTCTATATTCATTGTTTATTCGTGTTTATTTGTATTGGTTTTTTCAGCGTCTGTTGGACTTCAACGTGTCATCAGTGCTATAGAGATACTGGAAACATCAGGAGCCGAGCTTCAGGACAGAAGTGACATCTTTCAAGCTACATCCAACAACATCGTCTACATTCCAGGTCAGGTGGTCAACGTGATGGCCATGGCCGAGTGCCCGGTAGGGTCTGTCGCTGATAGTGGTTTCTGTGGTAAGAGCTAATTGCTGCATTCAGGATTTACGGTACATTTGTCATAGTCCCTTTTTAATATCTTTTAGTTTCATATCCGTTTCCGTATCTTTTGTTAGCTACAACATTTATTCGTCCGATGTTGGGTATACACCATACACTACATTGTAACACATGTTATCTTGGGTTCCTCACCCAATATACGAGCAGCCTCGTCTATATATGTAGCTGCAGTGACCAAATTACCCATCCGATGATAGATTCGGACAATGTCAAAGAGGCCTTGTCAATGTTATGTAACAATGTGCATTTTGTTGAAATGATGCTTGTTGTCTGGGGCATGAAACATGTAGCGTGCCTACCTATCAGCAACGCTTGTCTCCTTGGTCAGTTTGGGGAAATAATATGTCATTCCATGCCCGCAGAAGCGGTGGGGTAGCTAAGTGGTTAAAGCGTTCGCTCGTCACGCCGAAGACTCGGGTTCGATTTCAAACAAGGGTACAATGTGTGAAGCCCATTTCTGGTGTCCCTCGCCGTGATATTGCTGGAATATTGCTAAAGCGGCGTAAAACCATACTCACTCGCTCATTCCATGATCTCTATTATCTGCAAAGGTTGGGTATATTTGAAGGGTGGGCATGAGAGTTAAGCGGTTAAGCCCTAAGGGTCGGTTTGAACATTAGCTTATACACAAATTACAGCTTAATGTCGAAAGAAAGGACGAATTCCCAGGGGTAGGTAAATATTGCGAACACTTTTAACCAGATCAGCGGTCATTCAGATTCAGGGAGAGTGAGTGAGTGAGCATAGTTGTACGCATTTTTTTAGCAATATTACAACAACAGCACGGCGGGGGACACAAGAACTGAGCCTCACACATTGTACCCATGTTGGGAATCGAACCCGGGTCTTGGGCGTGACGAGCGAACGCTTTAACCACTAGGCTACCCCTCCAACCCCAGACTAAGGGAGAACGTAAGATCACTAGGCCACAGCTGAACTATTCACATACCGCATCGTTCATCAAAGGTGAGAATTTGTGGATGTCAACCTCGACGTTTGGGAGTATATTCTTACTCCTACATTAGGTGAATGAATAACTTGGAAGCAGATAGCAATAAGTACATGCGAAACAACAGCTGTGCTAAGACAAGATAACAATGATGGGCACTAAACAAGGGAAGCCAGTGGTCAATTGGCGCTGATTGGTCATGTCATTGAACAAATAGAAGACAGGAAATAATCCAGGCATAAATAGTCCCATGGGTGATCAAACGCTGATGGGTAATGGACAATAATAAAGAAGTTGACATCCATAACGACTTCCCTTTTTTTGTGTTTTCTAAACGTCTTTCAAAGACTTAACATAGGTCTTCACATGTCCAGAAGTGATACTTGTGAAGGAATCATGGTGCCCCTTGTCATGTTCCCAGGATTCTGTTCCGCGGGTATGTACTACGAACAGAGCAGCAAAATCTGCCGTTTCTGTGGCAAAGGGACATATCAGGACCAAACAGGACAACTCAGCTGTCAGCCCTGTCCCCCAGGGAAGACCACGCCCTATCTTGGCGCGACACTCCTGGAGGATTGTCATGGTGAGTATGAAAGAAAGATCAAAAGAAGGACAGGAAGTAGACAGAAAGTAAGAGAAAGAGGGAGATAAAGGTAAAGAGAGAGATAAAAAAAAACGTTTCAACGTCATAAAGGATTTACCACATTTAATCAGACAGGTGCGTAGGTAGATAACATCTAAAGTATACTTATAGATAAACAAGTTACATAGATACGTAGGGATAGAAATTAGTGTTTTCATGTATCAAACCAAGATTATATGCTGTTTCATTATGTTTCAGATACAGAATCAGATCCTCAACCCACAGAGACAAAGAATAACCAAGAAGGTAATTACTTTACACTATTCCAGTAGTCCTGTCACTACTTCCACCTAGAATATTATTCCCGTGTAAGACATGTTGAGTTTTCATGGAAGCAACGAAGGAAACGAACGATGAAACTGAAGCCTTGGTATGGCTGGTTGTCTGTGAAGGATATACTCGACAGGCAAAAAACTTAGGTTCGAAGTCCGTCTTTTTGTGTCCCTGACACGATATTGCTAGAAAATTGCGAATCACAGAAGGGCCCTTGAAATCTTGATCCTCAAGAAGGTCTTGTTGGCGATTTCACATGTTACTAATCCTAATGGATGGTAGTCTTGAAATGACCTCGAGTCGATGTCGTTTAGAATTTGAATTTGACAAATTTAGGGGCATAGTCAAGATGGTTTCTGAAATAGGTACACGTGTATTACGGACCAGGTATATAAATTACATGTTTTCCGCCGCTGGTGTTGTCACTGGTTTCCAGTGGTCCGTTCACGTGATATACACAACTGTTTATCCTTTGTAGTAAATGGTGTTAGTCTGTTGGTTGTTCTCATGAAAAGACGTTCTATATTTCCAGAAAGTGGACTGACTCCAAACTCTGCTGAAGCCACACCGACGAGGTCCTCCGGGAATGTCGATACCAATCTTGGTCAACCAGGTCAGTTGCAAACATTTGTTGTTACAGATAACTTTCTTTATCTCTCAGACATTGGCAAATGTGTCACGAAAAATGTGTCAAGTTACGAGAAGAGTAAAGTTTTGAGACCAACTTGAATGGTCGATGGCGTGAGATGTTTCTCAGAATATCAATCAGTGGTTTGTCTGGCTCAGTTATTTGCAGGCAGCAATGATATAACTGGAATATGGCTGACAAAAGACTAAAGAGGACAACTAAAAAAGCTCAAAACTAGTTCAGAAAATAATTTGGTACTTTTGACATTTTCAAAACCAAATACATACGTGTGTTGGAATCATGACAACATCAACTATGATGTTTGCTGTTGCCACAGGCTCCACCTCGCCAAGTAAGGAGAAGATCTCGGGTACGACTATCATCATGATAGTGGGTTCTGCTGCTGCTCTCGGTGGTCTTGGAATCATCATCGCCTTCTCGGTCGTTATCTACAAGAAGCTCTCAGGGTAGGTGGACCTCCTCCAAGGATTTGGTTTGGTTGATGTTATCGCCACACTCAGCAATATTTCAGCTACATGGCAGCGGTCTGTAAATAAACGATTCTGGACCAGACAATCCAGTGATCATACGATGACATGAGTCAACCAAGTCTGACCAAGACTGACCACCCGATACCATTAGTCGCCTCTTACGACAAGCATGGTTTGCTAGAGACCAATTCTTACCCGGATGTTCACGGATTCCTCCAAGGAATGAGCATCTGCCCGAAGAGTGAAGGGTCAGTTGTTCGCTTCCGGCTGCTTAAAACATGATACTTGTTGTTACCCTGTCTTGTGCTCGTCTTTAACAGTTTAGGTCGACTCGAGGTCTTTCAACAGGCCTCCACTTGAAGACCTCAGAGATGTATTTTCACCGGAAATAGCAGATGTTGTCCATATAGTCTAAGACCAAACCAAAAGATGTTGAAAACTGTACTTCTTGGCCCTCAGTATTGGTGGGAATAAACCATGGCCGGTCGGCTCGGGATTATGGTACTGTGTTTGAGTAGGGTATTTAAACAAGGGCATGGTTACTCAGTGGGCTAACACTATTAGACTGGTAGTAGTCATTTACAATGAGGGAGTGAGTATGGTTTTACACCGCCTTTAGCAATATTCGAGCAATATCACGGCGGGGGACACCAGAAATAGGCTTCTAATATTTTACCCATGTGGAATTGTACCATGGGGAATCGATCCCGGATCTTCTACGTGACGAGCGGGTCCTTTAACCACTAAGATACCCCACCATATACCATATACACCTCAGGGTGAAGGAAACCTCGGTATTCCGGACAGTGAAATATCTAGATTAACAAATATCCTGATAAACGAATTGTAGGTAAGAGCATTGATTAATATCATATTTACAAGGTGTCGATTAACGGAATAACTTGTCTGAGTATTATGGGCAGTATATATCCTCGAGAAGCATCTTTAATTTCTTAATCTGATAATTGCACGTCAGTGAAATCTCATTATACCGGAACTGATAGCCCGGAAACCACGTCTTACAGATTATCACTTCCGAGATGTACAAAGGAACATTATTCTATATCCTGACTACAATCCAGACATTTGCAAATGCAACAGATGTTACAGAAAGGCGCTATAGCCCATACTCACACGTTCCATTATCATATGGAATTTAGAAAGTGTGCTACAGACTTCGAATGAATTTTGGACTGGTAGGGTAGCCGAGTTGCTAAACTCGTCGTTCGAGATGCCGAAGACCCGGGTTCGATACCCCACGAGATTACAATGTGTGAAGCCATTTCCGGTGTTCCCCGCCGAGTTATTGCTTTAATAATGATAACAGCCGCAGTTCAAATCCATGCTCACTGACATACACGCCCGAATGAATTTCTTTCATAGTTATCATAAAAATTTATTTCATAAAAATGAAACACTTTTTTTCCAGAAAATCCACCAAGGTAACAAGTATCAACAAACGCCACACAAACGGGACAAAGAACATGCAAACTGGCCACCTGAAAGTACGACCATACCAACGTCCTCCCGAATATTTCGATGACCCATATCGCCCGGCCAGTTCATCAGCGGTGTACACAGATATAGAAGACGAGGTGTGCAACCAGGAAGGGATATACTACACCCCTATAGGGGCAACTGGTTTTGCCCCGTGGTCACCCAACATGACCCCCGTGTCGCACCAGACCCGCCCCAAGGCCAAACTTCCAGGGTCATATTTCTAACAGAATTTCTGCGGCTCTTTTGGGGTGGTTGGATAGCCTGATGGTTAAAGCGTCCGGGTCAGATGGCCCACATGGGTACAATGTGTGAAGCCCATTTCCACTGTCCATGAAACTGCTGGAATATTGCTAAAGCGGCGTCAAAGTATATTCACTCACTCACTTCGGCTAATTTTCAATGAAACAGATGCATGGAACATTCTTTTACTGTACACAACATTTCATATCTTAGAGGATATAGTTGATAAACAATTTTGGTATGTTGATTTTCGAACAATGTCTATTGTTTTGACAGCTTCAATCGGTGTTGACGGCTCACAAAGCATTTGTCTGTTGACATTCCAGACTGAAACGTTGATGATATAACTAATCTGTTGGAATTATTCGGATCAGATATTGGGAGTGAGATTGGTTTAGTGGCCCTTTGAATTGTATCTTAAATTAAGGGGTACCAGCTTTATGCAATGTCGCTAATCTTCATAATCTTGTGTAACCTGTGAGCTAACAATCCTTGAAACATTACGACGAACCGGGACAGGTGCCTGGCAGTTCAAAGGGAGGCAACTCTGTTCAACAGCCTTCTCAATGCATCTCGGTTGATGAATTTACAACTCTGTCTATATAAGGGGCTATAATTCCAGTGACGAATGTGTATAACTGTAACAAATGTGTAACTAACCCTGAGTCAAAATAACTCAGGTGTATTCAGTGTTTTAAGTGACATTTTAGAAGTTGATATGACAAAGACGAACACGTTTTATGGACAGACAACTTTCTTTATTGCAGTGGTGATCACTTGCTTGATAACGGTGTTAGCATCTACACTGAAACGTCGCATCTACTGCAATACAGAAGTTTCTGTCCATTAAACTTATTCGTCTTCGTCTTATATTCGATCTGTCACGCCTTAAATATATTTCACACCCTGTTGTCATTCTACTGTAGTGTACATGCCATTGTGTGTATATATATATATAGCCACATGCTGACACAATTATCATACGGCACTCACGTGTTTAGTGAGTTTAGCTTTAAGCCGCACTCGGCACTCACGTGTTAAGTGCGGACCCTTGTAAACAATGCCGTTTCCTTGACAACGAGCATTATATCATTTAATGAAATATGACGTTATAGCTAATTCTTGTCAAAAGTGTTGTTTGTTTATGCTTTGTTTTTTTCTGTGTTGATTTTGTTTTGTTTCTTTTTTAGTTCTTTTAGTGACTTTATCATGCTAAGGATGAATCAATCCCGAGAGCCCTCGGTCTGTTCAGCTGGTCTCCTATGTATGGCAATGAATGGACGTCTTGTACATAAATGATGCCCTCAAAAATAGCGTTTCGAATATCCTTTGTACGTTCTTAGCACCGAAAGCAAATTGTATATGTATATATATATATATATTAAATCATTTTCGAAATGAATATTCTCATAAGTATAAATATCTTTGTGGAGATGTTGAAGATACTGCTCTATAAATGTTTGGATTGCATGGTGTCTGTGGCTACTGTTGTCTCTGTTATTGCAGCGTGGATGTAACGAAGTAAAATTGCCCTCAAACTGTTACCCCGTGGGGACAAAGGGTGGAATCTGTCCCCAGCATTCCGTTGCTAGTCTTAAGAGGCGACTGGCTTGGGCAACCGGTTTGCTGTGGGTTGAATCCCTCTGTCAATGACAGAAAGAAAGGGAGTCAGGTGCTTGAGGGAACCGAGGCCGGCTATAGTGTCCCCTGCAGTCGAATACACCACTTTGACCCTCCCTGCCTAGAATTGTAGAATGGCCTCGGTTTGTTGATTCGGCTGCTCATACCGAGCCCACTGTGTAAAACATATATTTTGTTTCGTCTTAATCAAAAACTTTATGCTATCAATGTTCCTAGAGGCGTTTGTCACAATGCTCAGGGGCCAAACTGGTGATGATGTTTTTTGTTGGTTTTTTTTCAAAAATATTTCTATTCAGTTCAAGAGTATACATATATTAACATAGGCTTTACATACACCACATTAATTCAATCTAGATACATTTAAATGTCAAATATCTAAATGTCAAATACATTTTCACATGTTTATACCAAAAGATATACTGAGACTGGAACTATTGAAGCATACCCACCAGTGGTCTCCATTTTTGCCCAAATTTATGTTCTTTATTGTTCTTTGTTACAGTACATCTTTCTGTTTTCAATTTCTCTTGAAGAGATTTCTTGAAGCTCCAAAATACAGGAATGTTATTTTTTATGCTCATATTATGTATGTATTTCTTGGCTAGGAGAATAATATGATTTATAAGAATCTGAGTACTGGGAACCAAAAGAGAATATGTTTGTTTCAAAATTCTTCTTATGGGCTGAACCAACACTGCTTTTTAACCATAGTTGGTGAAGTAGATCATCCCTGTATCCCTTGTGTTTGCACGTTGGATATCCAACGGATTGGCCTTGAAGCAGAGATGCTGATTCACTTTCTTTCACCATGTCTCAACAATACTCTGGGGGCAGTCTAGCCTAGTGGTTAGAGTGCTCGCTCGTCACGCCTGGGTTCGACTGTGAGAGCTGAAGACTTTGACTTGTTGAGTGCTGGCCGTGCAACTGGTTTGCTGTCTAACAAAGTGAGTGAGTGAATGAGTTTAGTTTTACACCACACTCGGCAATATTCCATATATATGGCGGCGGTCTGTAAATAATCGAGTCATTCGAGACATTCCAGTGATCAACATCATGAGCATCGATCAAAGCAATTGGGATACGATTACATCTGTTGACCAAGTCAGCGAGTCTGACCACCCGATCCCGATAGTTGCCTCTTACGACAAGCATGGGTTACTGAAGATCAATTCTAATCCGGATCTTCACGGGGGAGACACGCATGGGTTACTGAAGATCAAGTCTAACCCGGATCTTCACGTGTCCACAGAAAGAAAGGGAGTCAGGTGTCACGATCATGTCCCAAACGTGAGTTATAGGGTAAAGATCGGGAATTAGAATTCTGGTGATGTTTTGCTGCAGGTGATAGTCAATTGCAACACGTGCTCGGTAGTTATCGAGCGTTATCGAGTCTTAAGGACACAACAGCATAGCACTAACGATACACCTACTGGTACCAGTATGTTGTCCTCGCTAGTTATGCCCCGCGACCTTTCCATTGGCAATATGAAGTGGCTCCGACCAGTCGCCACCTATCATACAATCTGCCAGGTCGTCTTACCGCGTATCCAGAAATATCCAGAATGATTCTCGTCTCTTCTGAAACCTTAAACAAAACCATCGGCATTTTCCCCAGTGTCTACGGTCTAAACCCATTGGCCTCTGGCTGGAATATGTAGATTTGTTATGGTGGTTAAGTGGTCACCGAGATTCGCTTGTGGTCAGTAACCTGACCTCCGGTGGCCTTGGGCAACATGTTGCTACACATCACATAACGAGTCATATTCAACAGATTGGCTACCTTTCGCTTGTTCTGGTGTGAACCATGCCACTTGTCCTCATTCGTTCGTGACAATCAAGACGATACATTTCTAATTCTTATCTGTTTACAAATTGGGCATGAGTATTCAGTTTTGAGAACAAACGGGCTATAAAGATCTACAATACTTACAACAAGCAAAGAAAGTCAAAATTCTCCAAAGCGACATTTGTCGCAAGATCGCATTGTCGTGAAATCTGACTGTTGTTTTTTGGTTGTTGTGGTTGTTTTGGTGTTTTTGCAACAACATCCCTTCTAGGATTCCATACTTTTTCCATAAAAGCAGCATATTCTCTTCAAATAGGAAATGATTTCTTTCTGAATATTCTTTTGCCAATATACCGAGGCATAAGGTTGGCTGTTATAATATTGTGCGTAAAAGTCGCGCCTTGAACACATTCAGATTTCAATAATGTTGATAATTCTGCAGATCTGGTACACCCGCTGATCTCACCACCTATCATTGTTATTAAAATGTCATGTAAATAGGAAAACCAGATCTATGGTGATAAATTAAAATGATCACTATCACCCCTTTATTTAACTCACAGGTACCTGATATGATTCCCCGGCCACCCTTATTTAACTCACAAGTTTCTGATATGATTCCCCGACCACCTCTTTATTTAACTCACAGGTACCTGATATGACTCCCGGACCACCCCTTTATTTAACTCACAGGTACCTGATACGATTCCCCGACCACCCCTTTATTTAACTCACAGGTACCTGATACGATTCCCCGACCACCCCTTCATTTAACTCACAGGTACCTGATACGATTCCCCGACCACCCTTTATTTAACTCACAGGTACCTGATACGATTCCCCGACCACCCCTTTATTTAACTCACAGGTACCTGATATGATTCCCCGACCACCCCTTTATTTAACTCACAGGTACCTGATACGATTCCCCGACCACCCCTTTATTTAACTCACAGGTACCTGATATGATTCCCCGACCACCCCTTTATTTAACTCACAGGTACCTGATACGATTCCCCGACCACCCCTTTATTTAACTCACAGGTACCTGATACGATTCCCCGACCACCCCTTTATTTAACTCACAGGTACCTCATATGATTCCCCGACCACCCCTTTATTTAACTCACAGGTACCTGATATGACTCCCCGGCCACCCCTATATTTAACTCACAGGTACCTGATACGATTCCCCGACCACCCTTTATTTAACTCACAGGTACCTGTTACGATTCATCACAGTAGTTATCGGGTGTACTCCTCCCTGGACGACTACCCCAGGCCACTTGCCCCAAGAACACTGCCCACCCAGGACAACTGAAATTCAAACCGACTGTTCCAGTTATCTAATTAGATCTAAAGTACAAGGAGAAATAGTGTGGTAACGGCGAAAAACATTCGGATGTAAATCAAAGAGCTTGTTTGACCGTTGAAGATATAACAAGTGATTCCACAGGACGCTTGTGCCATCAAGAAAATCACTTACGCCAAGCCAGGGGCCTTCAAACCAATTAGGCCCATGAAAGAGGCACTTAGTTTTTCCAGTAGATCAGCATAGGATTTATGTAAATATGAACACAAGGCTGAAAAAGGACATGTTTCAAGGGTATTGACATGTCACTTAAATCCTGAGGGCCTGACATTGACATTTCAAATGTAGAATAGATTTTTCAAATTACCAGTGTCACATGAAGCGGAAGGTTTTATCCATGCTTGACTTCTGGCATTGTAAGTTAGAGTCCAGTTCAGTGAGGTCCAAGTTGGGTTTGTTGTTTTTTAGGATGACAAGAAATTTAGGCTACGTTTAGAGAACTATTTTTATTGTTACTTAGCTTAATGGAGTGACGTGCAGCTTGATCACTACTTTCTCAATCTCAAAACCCACCCAAAGTTCTCAAATATGAAACATACCCCTACTTTGTGTGATTCGAAATATATTCCTGCATTCACCAGCTTGAAACGCATCGCTACCTTCTAAACCTCAAAACTCAACCCTACTATCTCAAACTTGAAATAAACCCCTACTTTCAGAGTTCATTAACTTGAAACGCGTCTCCACATTCTCAACCTCAAAAATCATTCTTACTATCTCAAACTTGAAATTAACCTCTACTTTCTGTGATTTGAAACACATTCCGACTTTCACCAACTTGAAACGCATCACAACATTCTCAACATCCGTACTTTCTGAAACTTGAAACATATCCGTACTTTCTCAAACTTGAAACATATCCCTACTTTCTTAAACCTAAAACATACCCCTATTTTCTGTGATTTGAAACACATTCCTACGAATACATCTTATGGATGTCAACTTCCTGATTATGAGGAGCACAACGTTACAGAGTACTTACGCTTTCATCAGGTACATACTCCGAAACCTTGTGTTCCTCATAATAAAGACGTTGACATCCATAAAATCCTCTTTCTCATTTATATGATAGTATTTTAAGTCCTTCCACAACATCAACTATTACCGTTGCTACCATAACTAATGCAGCTTCTACGAATGCTATACTTCCATTGCTAAAGTCTACAACAAACTATTGCTACTGATGAATATTATAATGTTCCTGTGACTAATGAATATTATAATGTTCCTGTGACTAATGAATATTATAATGTTCCTGTGACTAATGAATATTATAATGTTCCTGTGACTAATGAATATTATAATGTTCCTGTGACTGATGAATATTATAATGTTCCTGTGACTGATGAATATTATAATGTTCCTGTGACTGATGAATATTATAATGTTCCTGTGACTGATGAATATTATAATGTTCCTGTAACTAATGAATATTATAATGTTCCTGTGACTAATGAATATTATAATGTTCCTGTGACTAATGAATATTATAATGTTCCTGTGACTAATGAATATTATAATGTTCCTGTGACTAATGAATATTATAATGTTCCTGTGACTAATGAATATTATAATGTTCCTGTGACTAATGAATATTATAATGTTCCTGTGACTAATGAATATTATAATGTTCCTGTGACTAATGAATATTATAATGTTCCTGTGACTAATGAATATTATAATGTTCCTGTGACTAATGAATATTATAATGTTCCTGTGACTAATAGTTATAATGTTCCTGTGACTAATGAATATTATAATGTTCCTGTGACTAATGAATATTATAATGTTCCTGTGACTAATGAATATTATAATGTTCCTGTGACTAATGAATATTATAATGTTCCTGTGACTAATGAATATTATAATGTTCCTGTGACTAATGAATATTATAATGTTCCTGTGACTAATGAATATTATAATGTTCCTGTGACTAATGAATATTATAATGTTCCTGTGACTAATGAATATTATAATGTTCCTGTGACTAATGAATATTATAATGTTCCTGTGACTAATGAATATTTTAATGTTCCTGTGACTAATGAATATTATAATGTTCCTGTGACTAATGAATATTATAATGTTCCTGTGACTAATGAATATTATAATGTTCCTGTGACTAATAGTTATAATGTTCCTGTGACTAATGAATATTATAATGTTCCTGTGACTAATGAATATTATAATGTTCCTGTGACTAATGAATATTATAATGTTCCTGTGACTAATGAATATTATAATGTTCCTGTGACTAATGAATATTATAATGTTCCTGTGACTAATAGTTATAATGTTCCTGTGACTAATGAATATTATAATGTTCCTGTGACTAATGAATATCATAATGTTCCTGTGACTAATGAATATTATAATGTTCCTGTGACTAATGAATATTATAATGTTCCTGTGACTAATGAATATTATAATGTTCCTGTGACTAATGAATATTATAATGTTCCTGTGACTAATGAATATTATAATGTTCCTGTGACTAATAGTTATAATGTTCCTGTGACTAATGAATATTATAATGTTCCTGTGACTAATGAATATTATAATGTTCCTGTGACTAATAGTTATAATGTTCCTGTGACTAATGAATATTATAATGTTCCTGTGAACTAACATAAGACGGATGCCAGCATTGATAAAGACAATACTCAGTACACGATTAACTCCGTTCTTTCATACCATGTCAGTTACCACACACACATACCACAGTCTGGTTCAATAACGCTGGAAATATATAGTCTTAATTAATAAAAAGAGTCATAATTAGAATATATGAACCGACTGTGTTTCCGTATCATTAATATCATATATTAGGAATACAAATTATATTATGCAAGCCTCCATTACACGATAAATATTCATTAAAAGCTAATAAATTATATGCTTTCGATTCCATTCATTTTGTCCAAATGAAAAAAAGGAATGTGTCTTAAGATCTACAGGTACATTGTATAATGTATACGAACGCTTACAGAGGCTATAACGTTGGAAAACATAAGTAACAAGTTTACATAACCGAATATTGATTTCATTGTAGTCACAATCATTATGCTTGGTTAGTGCTGAATAGTTTTAATCAATCACAGTTTACCCTCTGGATATAATCAGTATAATGTGATAACGTGAACACTCTGATGTGTCCGCGGGCTCTTCCCAGCTCACCCTCAATTGACCCACCCTGTACATTACCTCACATTACGTGTCATTCATTGACTGGATGATCATTCTGCTTAACATTACGCAATCAGTAACTAGCATTTACTGTCGAGTTCGTATATAAGCCCTCAGTTTACAGATCCAAGCATCATTCGCTCTCCATCTCATCCAACATGGTCTTCCTCGTGTGTCTTGCAGCTCTTGTAGCACTGGCGGCTGCCAATAACTTTGGTAAGTAGGAAGTAAAGTGTTTGGTATAATATAATAAATGTAAGATTTACATGGAGATTAGTTGACTCTGTTGTACGAGTGGCATGTGGGAGAGTACATATCAACATGCCCTTAGTACATATAAGTACATCGAAATACTTTGTTAAAGCCGTTGTTGTAGTTCCCAGTGAGATAGTTCGAATTAACTAATGTCCTGATTCAGGAATCAACGGCCCTAGTAACATCTCGGAATATCCATTTAATTATGTTTTCACTTATTTCAATATTTATTTGCTGATACGGAATTAATTTATGGTAAAGCTATGCGTTTTAACACTAACTGTCCCTTTGAACGTTTAGGCCAAAACATCGCACAGAATCGCCCCACCGGCTCCAGCAGTGTCTTCGTCAACGGTGTTCCTCCCCTCACCGCCAGTTCAAACCTCGCCGTCGACGGCAACTTCAACTCCAACTTCTTCTCCGGCTCGTGTTTCTCCAGCGATGTTTCGGCAAATGACCCCAACCCCTTCTGGTACGTGGACCTGGGGTCCCGCGTCTATGTGTCCGGCGTCACCATCACCAACAGAGGCGACTGCTGCGGTAAGTTTTTGTGATACCTTGTGTCTCGAAATACGACTTATATCGAAGATTATCAAATATCAGTCCAAATCTCGATTCTAGGTTTCGGCAGTTTCAATTAGGACATGACAAATATACATATGCATTATATATGAAACGCATTTAATCTTGACGATAACGTTCCGCTTGTCATACCCATTCGTAATTTATAATTGGATTGGGACAAACGGGGAACTAAATCGTCTTCGTCCGGACGAACCAGCAATCTGTGATCGTAGGTTCGAATCCCGGCCTGACTGTGTTTCTATCACAGTAGTCACCCAATAAAGGCCTTCGTATTTCTCTTAAATGGTAATCATCTGGTCTCGGGTTGGTTCGGGTTTTCCCCCCATTCAAAACTAAACTGTGATATAACCGAGAAAGTGTATAAAGCGGAGTTAGGCTAAACCAGCCCATTCACTGTAATGCGAACAGACAGTAACTTGGCCTTTCATTATACTATCCACGAAGCACAAGTCGAAGAATACCTCCGGAAAGATAAACCCTCAGTCAGAAAATAGGGGTAGCCTAGTGGTTAAGGCTCGTCACGCCGAAGACACGGGTTCGATCCCCCACATGGGTACAATGTGTGAAGCCCATTTACGGTGTTCCCCGGTGTGATGTTGCTGGAATAATGTTAAAACTGGCATAAAACCATACTCACTCACTCCCTCAAAAAGGATGGGAGTTCGTGTCATATAAACTGCCGGAGACGTGAATGCACTTGAAACTTGACAGTCACCTGAAGTGTATTTACTTACATTTCTTTTTAATATTGCAGCTGACAGACTGAGTGGTTTGAGAGTTGAGGTTTTCGAGTTCAATCCAACCACGAGCGCTGAGACACCTGAGCTGTGTGCAACATTAAGTGGAGGAGTAGCCCTTGGTCAGTCAATCGGCCTCGCATGTTCTCCCTTGACCACTGGACGCTTCCTCCGAATCAGCAAGCCCGGTGCCACATCCCCACTCACACTCTGCGAGGTCGTTGTTTCTGGTGGCAAGTTTTACAGTAAGTATTTTGGTCATGTTTTGTTTGTTTGTTGTTTAACGCCGCACTCAGCAATATTCCAGCTATATGGCGGCGGTCTGTAAACATATGAGTCTGGACCTGACTATCCAGTGATCCACATTGAGGATCATACACCATTACGCCATAACCAAATCAGGGAGTCTGACGACTATATCTACTCCAACGACCAGTAAAGGTGCTGAGAAATAACTCTAACTTCTTCTTCTGTATTGATACTGATACTCACAGTCGTATTTCATCTAAAGATTCTAAACTTCCAGATCCTTGTCAATGTTCCACCACGCCCCCCTGTATCTGTTGGCGCTATTGTTAGCATGTAAGATATATTAACGAAATATTTTTGGTCTTTATTATTTATGTATTTTGCTTTGTTCATGAATGTTGAAATTCATTTCAGACCCAAATATTCCCCAACAACCAACATCGCCCAGAATCGTCCAGTGCGTGCTACTTCCCAGTTTAATTTCGCTGCCACCAACCTGATTGCCTCCCCTGGCCTCGCTGTGGACGGCAACTTCAACACCGACTTCGTCAATGGAAGAAGCTGTTACTCTAGCGCCATTGGTGATTTAACTCCCACATTATACATCGACCTCGGCGCCTACTACTACATCAACTCCATCATCATCACCAACAGGGGTGACTGCTGTGGTGCGTACTTTTTTATATTCATAATTCATGTCACTGGAAAACAGAAAATGTGTGGAATCGAACTTGACCCTTTGGCTGACAAGTGAACCTATTACGTCTTACCCACTACACTACCCTGTCGCCTTTATTAAGCTGACACGTTCTGACGTGAATACTTATATACTGTGTAAGGACGTTTTTACACACTGTCAGTATAATAAAAACCTATTGTATTCAAGTAGCTCCAATATTTCAATGCAATTTGCTACCAAACGTTTTTAAATCATTTTAAACAGGCATTAAATCTAACTGGATCACTCACATCAGACAAGGCTTGTTGGTTAGGTTGGATGATGAAGGCTTGGATTGTCTGATCTTTTAGAGAGTACACACCGTATAGTTGAAAAGTTTCCACTCCGTCACTGCAAAATGCCGTAATGAAGTTGACCTTCACATTCTTCTTTCAACAATATGGAATAAACTAAACTGTTTATATTTCAGCCGAACGCCTGCGCAACATCAACGTCAGTACACTCCTGAAAGACCCCTTCAGGTACCTCGAGTTCCCCAAACAGTGCGGCACCATCACTGGCAACGTAGCTGCAGGAGCTGACGCCACCGTCAACTGCAACCAGCCTACCGTAGCCCGTTACATCAAGATCCAGAAGACTAGTATGGTTGACAGCAACGATCTCCTGACCCTGTGCGAAGTTCAAGTTACTGGAAGGTTCGCATCCTACGTCGAGCTCACAAAGAAACCTGTTGACAACGACGTTGCTCAGGCTCTGGCTGCCAACGGGGTCTTTCCCAATAAAGGAAACGTTGCTATCCTACCAAATGCTAATCAAATTACACCCGGGAGAGGTTTCTAAACAGTAAAACGGCGGGGAAAAATGTTGCGACATTTCTTTAAAGTGCCAATTATGTAATTCAGTTAACACAATGTAGCAGTTACATTCTGTTATTGAATTATTAGGGTTAAAAGTTATTCGCCAAGTGAGGTTTTCTCTAGTTAATCTGAAATTGAAACTACTGTGTACGCTTCTATGTTTTCTGTTTACAAGAAGTACAACATGATATCTGTCACTGTCTGTGTTTAAGGGAATAAAAACTTATTATTAACATTGATATCGTCTTATGTTGTTTTAACAGTTTTCATTAGTAATGAGTTATCTTCATATACATTTACCATGCGATCTGAGGTGGCTTCACCTGTTCTGAAAGGGTTTGCTGGTCGTAGGTTCGAGTCCCAAATGGGGCCCTTGACATAAGCATTTGTGTGTGAGCTGTATTGAATGTGCCATCTTGCCCAAATCAAAGATTCGGATCTTTAGATCTGGGACACCACGGTGAAACCGTAACTTGGGATAGGGCTTGCTTTCACAGTAGCGGCAGCAACGGGTTGGTCGTCGCCCCAGTTTTAATCTTCGAAGGGAAAGAACTCTACCTAAATGGGAACTCGTCATTTTGGTGTTTTCTGGAATAGGCTCACACACCCTGGTGTAACACAAATACTGTGTACAACAGTGTATCATGCAACTTTCAAAGAGCAAATACTCGACCATATTGGCACTTTGAGATAGAAGTTTCCAAGAACTTAACACTGTGATTGATTTTTGTTTAACATAGAACTCGGCAACATTGATGGTGGTTTGTGAATATACGAGATGCTAGTTAATGCACTTTCAGGAGTTCAGACCTCTTTTAGTTCGTTTGTTTGTTATCATCAAGTCAGCGAGCCTGGTCCCATTAGTCGCCTTTTCCGACATGCATGGGTAGCTGAAGACCAATTCTAACCCGGATCTTTACTACTTCGTGTTCTTCTCAATTCTAGCTGACAATCCAGTGATTGACATCATCAGTATCGATCTAGCCCAATCAGGATACAATGATATGTCTGGCCCCCTGATTCCTGTAAGAGCCTCTTACGACAAACATGGCTTTCAGATGGGTTCTCATCGGTATTACATTATCGCCACATAGACTACCTTGTGATCAAAGAAGGCTGGCGCCACAGGTTCTACAAGGATCTGCTGGTCGTAGGTTCGAGAACCCTGCTATAAACATAATCATGGTGTCTGTTCACTCAGCAGTGAATGGGTACCCGGTGGTCATATGATTGTTAACTTTCTATCGCATCACATCCAGCTTGGGTTAACGGGGTTGATAATGTCTTACCCCTTTAAGCACATGCACAAATGCGTGGATACTATTTATTTATAAATGTACATTATTTTCTCAAGGTGTGTTCAGTGCCGGAAAGCGCACGAAAACCTCCAAATCATGATCATCATCGTTGTCGTCATCACAGTACAGTGCACTGCACTACTGACGTCTTGTCTCGGGAAGGGACGGCGATGAGCAAAAGACCAGTGCGTCTATGTCAGTGAGTGAGTTTAGTTTTACGCCGCCTTTAGCAATATTCCAACAATATCACGGCGGGGAACACCGTAAATGGGCTTCACACATTGTACCCATGTGGGGAAGCGAACCTGGGTGTTCGGCGCGACGAGCGAACGCTTTAAACACTTGCCTACCCCACCAATCAAGGCATTGCTTTTGTAGTTAAACTAGCTAGGAAACTAAGATACTGTACTATGTTGCACGAAGATCTTAGCCCTATTTGCGATCGGAGCTCCTATACATTAAATAGACTTAAAATAGACAGTTGTTTTGTATTTGTACACCTTAAAATAGACAGTTGTTTTGTACACCATTGAATATATGACCTCACAGAACTATACGTCTTAAAAGCTGTCAGAGTATTTCAAAATGGCCGTGGAACTTATACGACTGTACCACTGAAAATCAGGATGACACGAGGTGTTCGAGAGAAGGATCAGCATGTCCTGCAATACATATTTGCTTCATTAAAGGTCACATGCAACGTAAAACGCAACTGTACCGTGCTGGTTCTGATACCTTTCGGCGTGGACTTACCGAAACAAATCATCAAAAATGCAAATTCAACTTATAAAGTTGAAAAATAACGCGATGAAAAAAGCCGCGCGAAATCGGAGTTCAAACGATTCACTCATTTTCCCCCAGCGCTTGGGGGAAAAAGTGGTTTCAACAGCTATGCTGCGCTGCTCCTAACGCCTGCGCACTGAATAGGTTCGCGGAGCTTGAAACAGGATGCATGCCCGGATTATAAGGTCGTGAGCAGGAGAAGTCTAATCCTGGTTGTGTACACAAAAAAATAGTAAATAATCTACTCCTTACATAAAAGAACCTTGTAGGGCTCTAGATCTACTCAACTATGTGTCAACCAGTGAGGCGTTCGACATTTCAAGACGGAAAACCTTCGCTGGCGGTGAGTACTCGGAGTCGGGAGGCTTTGATGTGAGCTATTTTTATAATGTTTTGTTGATATTTCTCAGGCGCACGCTTTTTATAAGTTATTTCTCAGGCGCGAGCTTTTTGTATGTTATGACAGTAGATTACTGATTTAACTGTAACTAATTTCATTTGACTATTTCACCACACGTACTTCTTACCGAGTCATTTTCTCAGTTCGATACTTAAAAGCAATGTCATTATTTAGCATTTAACAAACGATCATAAATTGAAATCGCTATTATTGGTTTGTATTACAAAGGGGTAAACGCAATAGTTGGAACAGTGAAACAAATGCCCGTGCGGTACGTGATGAGCGTTAATTTAGACCAACCCTCCTTGTTCTCGGTGTTTCATTTAATGCGCATACCCCCTTGTAATGCAAACCAATAATAGCGATTTGATCGTTTGTTAAACAAATTGTATCCTAAGTTGAATAAATTTCTGAGAGTAAATGTTCAGTTGGCAAGGTAAAATTATGAGGATTTGCTACCTTAATTTCACTTTATTTGATTTACTTTTTTGTTCAAAGTGAAATCCACTTGTACATTTTCACTGCAAACAGTCTATTATAAATGTCTGTATTATAAACATTGGAAATCTGAACTATGCCAAGAATATTATTTATCAAAAATCACTGTAAAGAAATTCCGTATAGCTTTATCCCCTTGTCGTTGCTCATCGCACGAGTTGTTTGTTGAAACTGGGCGTTATATTATTATTCCTCGTAATCACAGAATTTGCAAGCTCTGTAACGTTTAAATGTTGTGGAAGACGAACCATTTTCTTTTCATCTGACCCGCCTAAGAAAACCTTAGAAAGAAATATTTCACATCCTACTATTATATCCATCCAGATTATAAAAAATGACCATATTATTAACAAATGAAAATACTATTGAATTACAGAACCTGTCAATGTATATCTATTTTGCATTTATGCATAGAAAATCTGCTTTAAGGTTGTAATCTGTAAATATTTGACATATGCTTTTCTGCTGCTCAGCTGTAAATATGTAATACATATAAATGCACTATAGGCATGTGGCCTTACCGAATAAAGATGATGCCATATGTTGAATCACAAGTGAAGGATAATGTGTTGCACTGGGTTGTTAAATGAACCATACATTCAGTCCTTATTGTCAGTAACATGTGTTGACAGTTCTATGTCATATGTCATATGTTGGATAGTGACAGAAGAGCAAATATGAGCTTAGAGCTCGTTATTTCAGAATGTTAGCAACTGTCCTCAGAGAGATGACAAAAAGATGACATTTCTTGCCATACTCTTGTCCTCGCTGCTAGTGTTACTGGGTAACGAGGGGCTAAAATAAGCACTTGTCAATATACAAGGGTCAGAGTGAATATACTGAGAGGGATCCATGTTGAACTACGGCAGGTTCCTTTGTTGGCTAAAATACCAGTATATGTTCCGACTGGTAGCCACAGCCACACACTCGCGAGCGCGCGCGCGCGGCACACACACACACACACACACACACGCACTTACGCATGAGCAAGCAAGGAAACTACAATATATACATGCTCGCACGCACAGGTACACGCACGCGCGTGTGCACATACACACACACATTCATACACACTACACACACACACACACACACACACACACACACACACACACACACACATACATACATACATACATACATACATACATACATACATACATACATACATACATACATACATACATACATACATACATACATACATACATACATACATACATACGCACATCGATGCTTATGATGTTGATTACTGGATTGTCTGGTCCAGACCGATTATTTACAGACCGCCGCCATATAGCTGGAATATTGCTGAGTGCGGTGTAAAACTAAAAACTCACTCACTCACACATACATACATACTGAGTCACACTGCCACACCCCCACACATATAGTCAAACACACACGCACTCACTCACTCTTATAAACACACTCACACACATGTACGCACTAACATACACACACGCAGACACGTGTATACCGTCATCTTAAAGACGACGTTAATATTAATTGGGCTCTACTTCTACGATGCCGTGCCGTCTCAGTTGACAGTCTCCAGATATGTAATTCTCTGCCATCTGAACTAAGAAACACCAAATCCAGAGACCTTATCAAGTCTCTCCTTAAAACCCACCTCTTCCGATAAGCATTCCACTAGACCTTCAGTTTTGTGTGTGTATATTTGCATGGATTTGGGTTTAACATTGCCATGGCGCCAGTGAGCACCTGCCGATACTATTCGTTTCAGAAATCATGTTTTATTATATTCCGTTCATCCATTCGTTATGACAATAAGCAGAGACCAGGAACTAACTGTTGAATGAGGAAGTGATCAGCACCATAAGCCCGAGCGTGGTCACACACATTTACAGTAATTATCTGATTGCTGGCGGCGTTGACTCAATACATGTTCTACACACCCAGTTAATGCCTTGATCAGCAGGTCCACTGTAACATTACGTATGTATATCAACAGACTTGTAAAAGTGTCATCATTTGATTATC